ATCTCTCTTATAGTTATATTGTTTACCAACCAATAATGAAGGAACTCTGTAAAAATAATACACAATTCATAGCCCTCTTTCAAATTACTTGGGGAAGGTGGGTGGCTGGAAATTTCCAACCACAAATATAAAAACGCTTCTTAAGTCTTGAAAGAGCATCACATGAGTTTTCTGTCACTTAAGCACTGTGAGAAAACAAGAAAATGAGGAAAGCACATTGGGAAACAGATACCAAACTTTGACCTCTTGTGGCTTCTAGATGAAGCCAAAAGCTCTTGGATAGGAAGTTTGGATTCCACTGAGCACGAATCATGGAAAGATATGCAACACTACTGTTTTACTCATCTAACTCTTTTCAAAGAATTGAATGCCATAGCGCTGCCCACACAAGCTAACCAAAACCTTGAGTACACTACATTGGTTTTTGAGTGCAAAACCCTAATGGGTCTGGAGGGATCTGAGTTTATCCCAATAGTGCTAAGCCAAGGCCCACATCAGGGAATAACCCAAAGCATCCCACAGATTATACGAGTGGGATTCATGACTCATTCATGACTATTCATGATTAGTGAATATTTAACAGCCATTTTCAGGACACTTCCCAAGAAACTTGGTCCCTATCTAGCTAATATGGAACATTCAGTATGTATTTGTTGAGCCACATTATATGTCAGGTAAAACAAGTACAAAGCAGCCGTTCCAAACTCAGCTAGCCTCTTCTCCCATTTCTTGCTAGGTGTGGCATGTTGGCAAGCTGTTCTGGCTCTCTAAGCTTCAGTTTCCTCGTGAATTAAGTGGGCCTGATGGCACTTACTTCTTAGTCCTGTTTGAGTTATTCCCTTGTACAACATAAGCATCCAATGAATGTCATTCCTCTGAGAGGTCCTGGCTTAGTACCCTCCTCACACTCCATCAGCTCCCTCCATTATTTCACTCTGCACCTTCTAGTTTCTCACTACAATTACTTTCTAGCTTGATGATATGATGAACATCTCTTCTCTCTTCCACTAGACAGAGACATTCTGATTTGTTTAGACACTCAACACCCAGAATAGTAGCATATGACAGGTGCTCAATAACTGTTGAGCTAATAAATCACACCAAAAAATGAACATAATACAAAGATGAAAGAGCATTATCTTTCACCAAGGAGGTCACAGGTTAATGAAGTAGTTATTAATTCTAGCTGCTAGTCAAACTCAGTTGGGGTGTAATTTTCTTTCAATCTCAATACTTGATCCCACTCTGTAACAACTCCAGGAGAGTGAGCTGAAGGGATATCTGCCCAGTTTGTTTTATCTTTAAGTAGTTGTCTAAAGGACTTGCCATTCACCAAAGCAGTTTATGAATACAGTGCATCTTGATCAATGTCACCCCTTTCAACATTCTCACCCACTCCTTCCAACCCAGTCCTTCCCTCACTTAACTTCAGGTTAAATATTTGCAATTTATGAAAGCAGTTTATGTGAACAATAAATCTTGATCTGTGTCCCTAGTTCAACATCTTAACTCCAGCTTCAACCCATCCCTTAACTTGTATTTCTCAATTCTGTGGTATATGCAATGAATTCTTGCCTGCATTCTCCCCTCTTCCCCCTTCATTCTTCTATTCCTCTCCTCTTGGTTCCCTCTTGCAAGCACCCATTTCCTGGTACTTATTTTGTTGGGCTCTGACTTAGTTTTTTGTTTTTGTTTTTTGCCAGTCCAGGGCTTGAACTCAGGGCTTGGGCACTGTCCTTGAGCTTCTTTTGCTCAAGGCTAGCACTCTACCACTTGAACCACAGCCCTACTTCTGGCTTCTTCTGTTTTATGTGGTACTGAGGAATCGAACCCAGGGCTTCATGCATGTCAGGCAAACACTCTACCACTAAGCCACATTCCCAGCCCTGACTCAGTCTTTTTAAAGAATAATATTATTTGCATTCTCTGTAGAGTCTATTATACTTGTTAATCCATTTGTTACCCCTTGCTTACCACCCAGTGGTTTACTTGTAGAACTATAGGGACATTCTTGCTACCACAAATGAGGGAAACCATGCAACCTATGTTTCTCTGGGTATCTCTTACTTTGCTTAATGCAATTTTTCCAGGTTTTTCCATTTCCTTATAAATAGTACAGTACCATTCTTTCTGATGGATGAGTTTAATTCCATTGTTTATATATACCATATTTTCTTGGTCCATCTGTCCAATGAGGGGAATCTGGGCTGATTCCTTATCTTGGCTATGGTGAATTGTGCTGTAATGAACATGGTTGTGCTGGTTGCTTTAGTGTGACATTGACTGTGCTCTCTTAGATAAATGCCCAGGAGTGGAACTGCTGGACCATAGGGTAAGCTTCTGTGTTTATAGTCTTTTGAGGAACCTCCATACTGCTTTCCAAAGTGGTTAAACAAGACAACATGTGTTGTCTTTTGTTTGCATGATTTTTTTTGTTTTTTTTTTAAAGAGTATTCCTATCATCATAAATTATATAGGAAGGTGAGTTTGGAAAGATCACAGTTCCAGGCCAGTCTGGACAGAAAAGTCTGAGAGTCTAAATTAAGGGAAACATGCTGGGTTCAATAGCACACATCTATATTCCTAGCTATGACATAAAGCCTAATGTAGGACTGTGCTCTAGCTCTAGGTGTGTACATGAGCAGAAAGTGAGACCCTATCTTAAGAATAACCAGTGAAAAGAAGGGCTTAAAGATGTGGTACACTTGAAAGAATCACATGGAGCCTAGCACAGAAAGTATGGTAGTACACATTGGGGATGTCTCCTTCCTCTCTGTGGCAAACAAGCTGTGGCAGATAAAGGATCTTTAAACTGTCTATAACACAGATTGCTCCAGTGTCATCAATTAAAACAAAAGTTACTCATGCCATGTTTCCTATCTACTTGTTATTAAGCACCTATTATAAGGCATATATAAGGGGCTTCAGTTTGTGCATAAAATACCTCAAACTTTCATATTTAACTAATTGAGTATTTTCCATTTTCTTATTAAACTTGAGGAAATTGAAGATTCATGGAAATTATTTACTTGACATTAATAACTATGACAAACCCAGCACTTAAAAAAAACCTACAACTTAAGTTTCTTTTTCTAAAAGCATTGCAGTACTCTACTATATTTCTTTATTTATAAATCTAATTTGTTTTTCCAAAGTCCAATATAAAGGCTCCTGTGAAGCTCCTTGTTTCTAAATTATCAATATGTTTTAATTGGTATACAACACACATATCTAACAGGGTATGATGCTAACTGTAGCATTTGACAAATGATCATCAAATAAACTTGACCATGTGAGGAAAAAAAAAGGAAACACAGCATAAGCCCCTCAAAAGCTTTCTGTGGCACTTTGTAATTATTTACTCCACTTATATCTGCAAAGAGCTAGTATCTAAAGGAATTTTTGAGGTTATTTGTTTATGTTGTCTTCCTAGGGGAGCAAAGGGGGAAATAGGAATGGAGGGGGCACAAGAATGGAGGGAGGAAAGGTGAACAAATACAGTCGTTGTATTCAATATACTGTATGTAAAAAACGAACTATGGAACATGTGGACAGGGATGGGAAGGGGAAAATGTAGCAAAGCAAAGGAAGGGCTGACATTGGCCAAGAAACACTATACTCATTACTGGACTTATGGAATTGTAACCCCTTTGTACAACTCCTTAAAATCAGTAATAAAATGTAAAATAAATTAAAAAATAATAAAGTGAAACAAAAGCATAAATTAGGTATATGATTAAGGCCAAAACTTACAACATGTGGTCACTGTATAACTATCATTGTCTACCTCAAGTAGATGTTAGTATTTTATTTTTTCTGAAAATAAAGAAATCAGAAAATAGTATCAAGTAACCTGGGTACAAAATGTGTTGATAATTAATATTCTAGAATTTCTTGAGGCAAGGTGAGGGTCAAAGAAGACAAGAGACTATTATTCTTTCACGTAGGCTGGTAATCCCTAGCTTTGATGGACAAGGGGCTGGTAGTGGGGTAATAAAGCATCTGTGGGTTAAGTTTTGCTTGTTGGAGTTCCTTCCAACTCTATACTTCTAGAATAAATTAAGATGATCGAATATTTACTGACCACCATAATGTGGTAGGCCCTTTATATATAATAGCTCATTAAATCCCTTCAACAATTCTGTAATGCTACCATCTTCATTTTACAGACAAGGAAAAAGAGATTAAAGAAAGTAACTAGTTCAAGGTTATACTCTGAGTGTGTTAGCAGGGATGAAGACACAAATCTGCCCAACTCCTACTCTTTCCCTTACAGTCTACTGCTTTCCCCTCCCCAGGGAAGAATAAGCTTCAAGAAATGATTTCTTAGAGAAATGGCCTCTGGCAGGTGAGCTATAACTGCAAAAATGACAAATAGGTATGAGCCAGATACCTTGAAACACATTTTGTTTCCAAGTTTCTCCTTCCCTATGGGGCTGGGTTGTTTACCTTAATTTGATTAGTTTCTTCTTATTCACTGTCAAAATACTTTTGTCTCTAAGCAGACAAATCACTCGTCCAAAACTTAAAACACTTAGTTACAGAAGTTATGTGGCATCTTCTAGGACTAAAGAAAAGATACTAGTGAACAAATCTGTGGATGTCCAAATTTAGCCTTGACCTTCTTCTAAATGCCACAAGGGCCATGGTCAGCACTGATTATCAAATACAGGCAGGAAAAGAAGGACAAGATTTCCCTGTGCTTAACTGAGACCGCTGAGCCCCAGGATGACCAACCACACAGAGTTATTCAATATTTTATGTCATCTGTGATAAGATTGTCTAAGCATTCTGTTAAATTCTTAAAGGCTTAACAGAAATGCATGCAACTCATGGTTTTCTTCTTTTTGCTGTACAAATGCTGACAGGTTTTAGCTAAGCATAGGAGGAAAAAAAGAGAAGCACTAAATTTCTTTTACCTCATCAAGTCTTTTATAAACAACTTAACAAATAACAGAGACAACTCTGAAGACATGTTATCTGATTTGGTAACTGCTTACCTTGGCCAGAATTATATATTGCTTTGACAGATTTCTTCACTTTCTGTAAGGCTGTTCTATCTTGGTCTAGAGCCTAAAAGAGAAAACAAAAGGAGGAAAAAATGATGTTGGAAAATTTGGAACATTTCTAAAAAAAAAATTAAGAAAAACATTCACAACTGCATTTGTTTTGCTGAGCACCAAAGCAAGTAGCAAACTGATAAATTAACAATGAACCATTTCAGAGACCAGTGTCCAGGCTTTGAATAACTGTGTTTATGAATAGATACGCAAACAGTAGACAAGGCTCAGTTTATGTGAAATGAATCACATGGCAGCTTTTTAGTAAACATGAAAAGAAAGCCCAAGACATGTATGAAATCCGAAGGCTTCCTTCTCTCACAAGTTTATACAGTTTGGTAGGGAGAAGAGTAGATTTAAAATAAGAAGGTATGAGGCTAAAGGAACAAACACATCTATCATCTATTGATCATTTCAGCCAGGAAAAATATATTTAGTTGAGTTTAATAAGTAGAACTAACCTTTTCTATAATGCTTTAAATTTGAGAATTTCAGTGATAAAAATCTATTTTGTACAGCTACTTAACAGATAATAAAGACATACATAGCAGGGGCTGGCCTTTGACGTGTAATTTTCTTGCCTCACCTTCCTAAGTGTTGGGATTACAGTGTGTGCCAACAAACACAGTCACTGGTGTATTTTAACTGTGATTCAGGTGCCACTTTCTTTTGGCTTCTTTTCTTGAGACACCAGGTGGGTACGTGGTCCCGTGTTGGGATGCAGATCTTTTTTCCTGAGATTTCTAGGCTCCGGAAGAAGTATGTCCACATTCCCAGTGGCTCTAACTACTTCTAACTTATTTCCAAGGAAGTAAAAAAGATCTACTTTCAGTTCATCTATCAGTTCAGCTTGGATGAGTAATAACCACATAAAGATAGGGCTACTCAGACAGAAATTAATGTATGGGCTTTACTGTCTGTGCATCTTTGGAGTTAATGACTCCAAATGAACAAAGAAACATGGAACATTTCAATTACAGTGTTTTACAAGATCATCTCACAACATCCTTTTTGGGGGTGCTATGGAGGCAAACTCTCGGACTTGATAGTGTTTTCTCAACTCATGCATAAACTAACTGATAGGGTGTGATTTACATACTTTTTTTTAAAAGGTTATGAACAACATTTTATCTAACAGTTACAAACATAGTTAAATCTGAGTGACATTTTCTTTTTTTAAAAGCAAAACAACAACAGGTCTAGAGTTTGGCCAGTGGTGAAAGGAAAACAAATGAAAGACATTTCTAAGAGTCCCACAGCTTAGAGAGAAGATATTGTCCTTCAATCAAATAAGGCTCCCTCTAGAAATAATGTCTAAATGTGCCATTATAAGTTCCATTATAAGTGCCAGACAACTGTAATAACTTCCTATAACATGGCATATGTAATATTAGAAAAGGTCTAGGAGAAAAATGGCACATATGTAGGCTATACAATGGTATTCTTCAAACCACTACAAGTATGATAAATTACACAGCTGCATTTACTCACACTTGAAGTTAATCATGTCAAAAGGTAAGGGGATAGAGAATCAACAAATGCCTGGAGAATAATGCTCATCCCTAGTAACAGAGTAAGTAGTAGCTGACTTGCTTTGAATTTGACAATACAGGAGCTTCACATCCTATGTGTAACTAACTAAACAGTATGGATTTTAACCTAGGAGAGTATTTCCAACCCTAATATGGAGATGTTTTATTTCACACACAGCCCCAACAAGTTTGCTCATTTGAATTGTAGGCACAAAAAACAGTCAGTTCAAAGCTAGTGCTTTGAGCTAAAGAGCTGAGGAACAGCACCCAGGTCCAGAGTTCAAGCCCCACAACTGACCAAAAACACTAAGAAGAAACCAGCACCCCGCCCCCCCCCACCCCCAAAGTGTAATGTGGAGAACTGGTAGCTAGAAGGATTCAGAAAAATTATAGGAAAGCCGGGCGCCGGTGGCTCACGCCTGTAATCCTACACAGAAGTATGAGATCTGAGGATTGCGGTTCAAAGCCAACTCGGGTATGAAAGTTCGTGAGACTCTTATCTCCAATTAACCTCTCAGAAAAGCAGAAGTGATGCTGTGGCTCAAGTGGTAGAGCACTAGCTTTGAGCTGAAGAGCTGAGGGACAGCACCCAGGTCCAGAGTTCAAGTCCCACAACTGACCAAAAAAAAGAAGAAGAAAAAAGAAAAATCATACAAGTGGGACATAAGGATGAAATATTTTTTGAGCTTATGCCACTGAGGGCAGGATGTGAAACCTTTCCCCCAGACCAAGTAGTATCCCTTAATCACAGCAGTGTAGGAACTGCTAGTCTGAGCCATGCACACAAATCTGGCCACCCCACTCCTAGCTTGGGGCAACTGTACTAGCTGAGTCCTCTGCCTGAACTCTCTTTCCCAAGCCCATAGATGATTGGCTCTTTTCTTCTTACATGGGCCTCACATTAAAGGCTTTTTTTTTTTTCCTGAGAGGCTTTTAACAGACATCCTAACACTGTGTATCCTTGGGCCAACAAAAGTTCCTTTCTAACACACATCATATGGTATTTTCCAAAGTCCTACCACATCCTGAAATGATTGATTGTTGATTTATTAACTTTTATCGTATTTATCTTCTTCACTGGAAGAATGAAGTTTTTAAGAAGGCAGGGGGCTGGGTAACCTCACAAATGCATTATGACATGAAACCTAAGTGATGTTATAAATGAACAAATACACGAACAATAAAGTAACAGTACAGAATCCTAAAGATAAGTGGAAATAGAGAGAAATCAAAGCTGCCTTTCAGGGAGGCCTTCTCCTCGAGCCACCTCTACATTAATGTGCCTACAGAAGTGGCTAGTACAAAGCCCTGCACAGATCAGATGCTCAAAACCAGCAAGCAGGGCTGCACAGGCAAGTCATTGTAGAGTGCTTGCCTACCATGTGTGAGAACTTGAGCACAGTCCTCCAAAGAGAGAAACAAAAAAGCAAACAATAACTGTCCTTAAGGAGGCTGGCTCTAAGAGTGAAATACCTGAAACCTAGGATTCCTATTCCTATTTCTTTAATGAACAGTTACTTGCTTGGAGAAAGTGGAAAAGGGAGAGAAAGAAAGAGGAAGAGAAGAAGAAAGAGGGAGGGGGAAGCAAGGGTGAAAATATTCTTCTACTTATGTTGCTTTTAGCTGTATTGAGCAATCATTAAAAATTATGCATATTGAGCATACACACATGCATGTGCTCTGTTGGGGATTGAACCCAAGGCCTTGCACATGCCAAGTATAAATTACAGTAAAGAAAACATTTTCTAATATGGGTTATTCTTTTGCTAAGGAAGACAATTTTGGCTGAATTTTAGTTCATGTTTCTTGTTGGACAAGCCTGAGATCTGGGGGAAGGAGGGAGGATTGAGTAGTGTGTTTAGGCTTCAGGACTGATTGCCTGATTTTACTCACAGAAAGGCCTCAAGGAGCAAAGAGTGGCAAGAGCGGCCTTACAGCAACTCTATAAATTATCTACTTTGAGGCCTCATATATAACAGAGATGTTATCTTTGTTAGTTTCACAATTACTATGATTTGAATGAGGTTGCTCCATCAGGGGAAAATGATTCACCTAAAATAAAACTTGATTTGCATAACACAGCAAAAAAAGGAAAGTTGATGTGTCATATACAAATAAAAGATTTAAGTTATTTATGGGTACCTCTGTAAACTATAAAAAGTATTATGAACACTCAAGCATCTGCTGCACGTACAGAGACTGCAGCCATAGACATTTAATACTTTCTCTTGTACCTATTGCTGAATGGGGTAAAATGTGACTCCTGGACAGTAAAGATTTGTAGATGAAATGGGATTAGGATCCCATGGGTCCTAATTCACATTTAGGTCCCATGACAAAGATTCAATGTACCATTTTCAGTAATACATCTGGAATGACTCTAAGGATCTAACACATACAAATAAAGTTGTCACCAAGTTATCAAGTTTCTAAGCCTAAGAAAGGCATTACATAAAACTGTAACTGACTAAATTCTGCTTTCTCATGTAGATAAACATAAATTACTTATCACTTACACCTCTGAAGGCAGAGATGATGGGAGGCCCAGAATAGGGTTTAACAGATCAGTTAAGTGATTTTCTAAGTATCTAGAATTAAACAAGTATAGGACATAATCTGTACTTCATAATGCTGCTGTTTATTTCTCCTGTACCACTTGTTCTAAAACCTTGCTGCTTAGTCCAATGATAACTTGAGGGAAGTGGCATCTTACCTAAGGCAAAAATCACAATGATTTCTTTGTTCAGGTGATGTTTGAACAAACTCACTTTCTAACCTCCCAGGGCTCATCATGGTTCCAATGGTCTCCAAGCCCCATCTACTTTTGAAGGTCAGGACATTTATGATGTATTAATGATGAGATTGTTTTATGTTTCCTGTGAATGCTAGGATCTGGAGGAAGCCTATTTTCCTCAAAGAACTCCCTTAAGCTCAGGTCACAGGAAGCCTTACTTTAGTCCTCCTTATCCTTCCTTCTCTCCAACAAGTAAAAGTTATGTGTGAGGGGATCTGGAGGTTCACAAATGCACAGAAAGAATCCCGGGCAGGATCTGCAATACCAGACCTCTAACCTGACTGCCTTTCACTTGTGGGTTCCCAGCTTCCGAACAAGGACATCTATAAGACTAGTGCAGTCTCTTCTGGTTCTGATTTTCTCTAAATTGAGTATTTTCAAGTCCCAAGATATTATCCTTCCATGTCAATTTTCTTGGTATGCTACATTTTGTTTTAAATAAAAGAAATATTAACTTCAAAACTGGAGTACAATTAGCAACATAATTCTGGGGAAGGCTCTTATAGTTAAGGTTTCTATGCAATGAAAGAATCATAGCATTGATCCGAATTCCAGTAACCTTGGCATTGCTTTTTTGTACTTCTGTTCTCTAGAAATTTTCTTAAAAGTCCAAAACCTTACAAACCTTACAAGAAAAACATTACTACTGTCATTTTAATAGACATAGATATTGGATCCGAAGGTAGG